TACACCCTTTGAAGAAGTGGTCTTCCCACACAGCTGCCTTTGTTTGTGTCGACACCTAACAGGAATCTGTAACGTGACGAGCTCTTAATTTAGACCGCTCTTGTCTCGCACTATAAAGACAGACATCTCTCAGATTCAGTGCCTCCACTTCAAACAYGTCTTTTCTTCTAAAAACAAAAATAAAAACTTTAAGAGTACTCCCATACCAGCGGTAGACGTCTGAGACTTTAGTTTTCTACAAAAACACAGATTACTTTAGTGTTCAATGCAGCTACTCTTAAATAGAAGAACCTGCGAGCTTCAAGAGTTTATTTGTATCTTCCACAATCTTTTCTTTATCTTTACTGCTAAACCTGTTTATTAACCCTGTTTTTAAAAGCCAAGGTTCTCACCGGTTGCCGGCAATGTTATTGCCTTATTGATTTTAGTTTGTTAAACACAAATTAAACCGCGAGGCTGTGAAAAGTTCATCTCCAGCACACGGCGACGGCTCGTAGCGGTACYTTTAAATAGGCCCCTCCATAAATCACATAATGACCAAAGGAGGRATAACTAATGCAATTCTCCTGCTAGGATGTTCCCATGTTCCTATACGGAGCACATTTATCACAGACTGATCAGAGATGCACAATTTCTCTGATCCCTGCCTGATTCACTCTCGGCCAAAATGAATGGCCGAAGGCAGATGAATTTTGATTGTGAAWATTGAACAGTGTCACGCCGACATGCTTTCCTTCTGCAATAATGCTTTGTTTTTAACACTTGAGTGGTCTTAGTGGGAGAATATTGCTTTCACATGTTTCAAATGCTTAGAGGCGGAATGAATCATTGAGGAGATTAAGCCTGTGAAAGCCCTTTGAGGATTAAGTCCCTTCCCGATATAGCATTTCTCACTGCACCGTGGAAGATACAGTAACATGAACTAGGTCACACAATGTATCTGTGTAGTTCCCTGATGTGTGAGTTAATCAAGTTAATCAGTTAATCTACGGTCGATCATGCGGGTATATGTTGCTTGTTCATTCCAAGCAGCTGTTTAATCTGGTGCTATTTTTTTAAATGTTAAGATGGACACAAATAAGGTAGATCTGTTGGCTAATTAATTATTAATTATGCTGATTAAGGCCTTTTTTCTATAAATGCATCAGCATTTGCTGGTTTGAGTAGGTATTCTCTTTGGAAGTGTCMAGGATCAGAGGTACAGCACAGGTTGAAGGACTGGGTGATAAAGTTAGAGGACAGGYTGAGATGGTTTGAACGGGTCCATGTTACGATCCAGTGGCTCAAAGGGAAGCAACATAAATGGGACAACCAGACAAGAGGTAGAGTTTGACTAAAAAGGTTTATTAAAACTAAAGGGCTGGTTGTGAGGGGACACCAGCAAAACTGCACCCATACAGCAGAGGGAGGAGAGAGCAAGTCTCCTCCTCAGGAGGACGTGGCCCACTTACATAGGCTGTTCACACCTGCAGATGGTTGATTACAGGTGAGAGTCTACCTGGAAAGAGAGATACACACAGTCTCGTAACAGTCCAGAGGAGGGACACTGGGTGTATTGGTAGTAGGGTGTTAGAGGTGCAGTTGACAGGAAAAATACGGAGGAGAAGATATTTGTTGGGAACACAATCTTTTTGCAAGACATTGAAAATAGGAAAAATATAATAATAAAGTTTCCATTCTTTTTTTCTTATTCCAGTTGTGGTGCCTAAAAGGTTGTCGTACTTGTACTGTTTGTATTTGGTTTACAAGACATTGAAAATAGGGAAAATACTTATAATAATAAAGTTTCCATTGGTTTTTTTTATTCCGGTTGTGGTGCCTAAAATGTTGTCGTACTTGTACTGTTTGTATTTGGTTTACCTGACAAACCGTTCAAAACGCTGCTGATCGCAGTATCACCAGAACTGCCTCCATCAGTCATATAACACCTGTTGTAGGCCATTACCAACCTTGCCTCTCCGTGCACTTTTTGGTCCTTCGATTTTCACTTTAAAAACAAATATTTAAATACGACAATTAGAACGGTTATTCTGTTTTCATTTTCTATCATTTAAAATCAACATTTTTGAGTTTTATATCATGTTATAATGTTATACTCTCATAAAAAAACATGCCCAAAGCCTTGTTTTGACTCATTCATGTATGTTTGAGAAATCCTGCAGCGTTTTTAGGAACCGAAATGACAGGTGGGGACGAGAAACACCCCTTGGGTGTGTCTTTAAGCCGAACTTACTCATCACGGAGCAATCACCCACCCACCCGCGCGAAATGGACGGGACAGAAGCATTTAAACATAAAAAACAACATTTTAATAACAGCTAAAGGTGACATAGATACTTTATTATGGTATAGTATTTAAATATATGCCTCAGAAACACATGATATTGCCTCTTTAAAAGCTGCGTCTTTTTATTTTTGTCAAACCGKAAGTTTAACGGYATTTTCAAGGCAGCTCAACCCTGTCCTGCTGAGCCTGCCTGCGGCTTCACGTTCCTCACCGTGGATTTGTTAGAGAGAGGCTTCACGTTCTAAAAGCTCCAGGAAATGGTTTGAATCACACATGTCGAACTCCGCTCCTCAGGGGTCGCTATCCTGCACGTTTTCTTGTTTTCCTGCTCAAACACACTTGATTTGCATGAATGGATGATTAACAGGCCTSTACAGAATTTGAGGAGGTAATTGAATCACTCAATCGGGTGTGTTGGAGCAGAGAAACAAGGAAAACATTCAGGATATAGCTGCCCTCGAGGAGCTGACACCTGTTACAGAAATGCCTACTTAGCTAGTTTTTACTTTATTCATCCCATTAACAGATCATTGTTGGATCTAGATAGTTTATAAAGAAATTAGCTWGATTAGCTATACTAATGTCTGCAGTTAGTTAAAGAAATGCAGAACTATTTAGATAACGTTWATTTTAAAGCAGCCGCTTGTTAAAGGGGACATATAATCTAAAATCCACTTTTTTAAACATTTTGTTGTGTACCTGGAGTCTCTAGGAGTGCAGAAATTTTTAGTCTCTCCTGGTGCTGCAAAGATATCTTTATATTCTGTTTGGGTCATATTTTTCATCAGTTGTTTTCTCTTTTCAATGACGTTTTCTGAAATATTACGTCATATTGYGACCAAATTAACAAAAAAGGTCTGGACTTACCAACTACAATTTCCTCGTCTTAATTCTCCTCTGGTTCTGGGTCAGACTCTGGCTACAACATGAACATGGACAAGTCTTCTGTTGTTGACATCTTTCAATTAAATTGTAAAAAAAAACAGCTCTGCATCRCTAGAAATCATAACCCCCTCTCTCAAACGCGGAGTGGACCGGTCAGGAAGCAGGAGGAGGGCGGAGCTTGAAGCGCCTTAAAGGAACTGTAACAAAACCAGCTGCTTTGAGAGAGACACCATAAAAGAGGTGAAAAGAGGGGATGRTAAAGTTAAAATAAGGAGAAATTCAGACTAAAGCATTGTATTTCCACTTTATAAAGACCCCAACTGAATGATTTAAATGTGAAAAGTGAAAATTTAATTTGTTTCGGTTTATTTATATAGAGCTAAGTCACAACAAATGTCGTCTCAGGAAACTATATAACTGTTTTTAAATATGTTTTTAAAATGGAAAACGAATCACCAAAAAGTACACAGACCTTTATATATTTCCTCACCTCTCCATGCTCACACTCCCATCTGTAACCTTAGTTCTTCCTCCCAACTTCATGTTGCATCTGCTCACCTGACCAGCATGGGGTCGAGAGCCTTTAGCCTCTCGGTCCCCAGTCTTCGGAACTCTCTGCTCCAGATCTATATTAAAATGATAATCAACAATGACTGCAAGGAAATGATCATTAAAATTATTGTATTTTTATTTTTTATCCAATTTTACCTGTCAAAATCCACATTTCTCTCTTTTGACTTTAGAGACTTAAAATTTTTTTGAGTTTGACAAATTTTAATTGAACATAATTACTTCAACTCTGCATTCCTTTAAGGATCTGACAGGTCCTTGTTTTCCTGTAACACCACCTCCTGCAGGCAATGCATCCCCCTCACCCCCTCTAAAAAAACGGAAACTTTCACACCAAACGCTCTCCGGCTCCTCTATCATGGGCATTGCACTTGTTTCCATCTGGTTTATTTTGGCTCCTGTTAACAGCAGGTTGGAGGCTTCCTGTCTTTGCAGAAAGATGCAGACCGCAGCAGGATCTGCGTCTAATGTCCCGCTTGTGGGCCCTGCTGTCAGTCTTCATTCGCTTTATTAAATTATAAGAATAGATTTTTGCAGTCTCGGGTGAATTCCTCTCCCCGCTACCCCTGTTGTGATATCTCACGTGCAGTGAAACGGTAAAGCTAATATGTTTAACATCAGTGAAGATTGGAGCGATTTCTGCTTCAGACCAGTGGGTTAGGAAGAGCTGACGTACGCTGGATCCCAAATTAGGGAATGTGAAGAGCATAAAGAGGGTTTCTCTTCCAGGGCATTTTAAGTGCAGCCTGATACTTTCTGTGTCCTAACGCATGAGTGCTCAGAAAATGAAATTTAATGATGACAGTGTTAGATCAGCAGAATACCACTGGAGGCTTCAATATWTCTGGCTGATATGATAACCGGGTATGAGAATTGCTAATCTACTCCTCCAGAAAGGGAAATGAGAGATTGATATCTTTTTTTTTTCCTCCTTCTTCTTCCCTTGCCTCCTCAACTGAGTCATTTTTTTGGCTTGAAAAAATTCCTTTGAAAAGAAATGATGAAAGTGTTGAACTGAACAACAAATGTGCTGCTGTAATCATATTTAACTTCAGCATCCGTTATTGTCTTATTTGTGCTGTCTGTGTGTTTGAGGCTCATGGGATAAGTTTGGAAAATCACTTTGGTTTTGAAAAAGAGATCAAAGTCAGAATGACAGATGAGACGAGATGAAAGCTGAAAACCTGAAAACCCGTTTCTCCGTGTGTGTGTGTGTGTGTGTGTGTGTGTGTGTGTGTGTGTGTGTGTGTGTGTGTAGGTGCTACTTTTGACGTGGCCATGAGATTCTTGTCCGAATGTCCATGGAAGAGACTCCAGGAGCTGAGAGCTTTGATCCCAAATGTCCCGTTCCAGATGCTGCTGAGGGGGGCCAACGCTGTGGGCTACACCAACTACCCCGATAACGCYGTCTATAAGTGAGTCACTCCAACACAGACTGAGATGTTATCCATCTGTTTATGTCCCAGTTCTTAAAGGGAACCCTGACTAGCTGTAACACTAGACGTCCTTTGATAAACATTTACTTCAGCTGTAAAACAAAGACTGTAAAAATATTGTAGGCTGTTTAGTTTTTATAAATTAAAAATAAAAACATCAGATGGACGGCACATTATTTACATCGCAAAGCATATTAGGTTAGTGATGTTTACCGGGCTTGTGAGGCTTTTTATTTTCTATCGGTGCGAGGTTGTGAGCTCTATCCACCCTGAAGGTTAACCTTAGGTAATAGATRACAATTAGCCTTTTTAAATGAAACCAAAGTGTGTTGAGACAGAGAGAAGGTAGAAATGACTCAGCCTAACACTGAAAATGATGGAGGTTAACCGAGCTGCGTATTAGCTCAGGTGCTAACCCAAAAGCTAACTGGAAAAGCTGAAGTTCTCCTTCCATTAAGCAGCTCTGTTCAACTTTTTTCAGTTTCTACATTCTCCTCTCTGTCAACGCTCTCTGGTTTCATTTAAAAGGTTCTSATCATCAGATATTGTCCAACCTTCAGGGTGGATAAGAGCTCGCACAGCTTCACACCGGAAAACCTAGTGAACATMATTTACCCAGTATGCTTTGCAGTGCTAGTAACGTGGCACTGCAGCCCTCAAACCTTCTGCTTTTATTCATCTGGTAAAAAACTGCAAACATTTAATGGTTTGCAAAAGTTTGTTACCTTAGGAGAAAATATAAAAATTTTCCCCGTGCTGTTCATCTGCTTGTAAACAGTCCTGTCATGCGTACGGACCGCAGATTATCAGTGTGGTGTTCACTGCGAGGGAAAACGCAGTACAAACTGGGCGTGCAGATTTGYACATCTGAGCAGAGCCATTCAGCATCTGAGCCGCTCTGWCAGTTTCTCTGTTYGCGTTGGKTTTTTTTTTTTTTTAAACGGTGTTGGAAATAGTTTTTATTGAATTTTGACAAAACATCAATTTGAATAAGATTTTCTCAAAGCCAGCTGCTCCTCCATCTGTTTCAGTGTCTGGTATTGTTGTATCATTTTGAATTGTTCTCCGGTTGGGCTGTTTCCATGGAAACGACAGCTATGTGCAATATTGTTTCTTGAGTATAGTTGGGGTAATTTTCTCTTGTAAAAATTTAAATTCTGCCTAATAATAATAATATTAATAATATTAATTGGACAAATAACTGTGCAACAACAAAACCACTCTGCGTGAATTTCTTTACACCACAGGAGGGAGAAGTTAAAACAGTTCACCACCTCTTAATAATAATAACAATAATAATAATAATAATAATAATAATAATAATAATAATAATAATAATAATAAGTGATGTATTAGATAAAGGTCATGTGAAACCACAAGTTTGTCTTCAGCTTTTACATTTACTTATTTATATTTCTCTGGTATTTGTAATTAATGTATTTTTTAAAATAGTTTTTTAGAAGTCTAAATTTACAAATGTCCTGTTACAACGTGAGTGCATTTAAAAAAAAGACGCACAAATCAAATACATATTCTTGTAGGATTGTTTATATTGAGCTACAAATTTCAATACAATATATTTGTATAGTAAATTTATAGTAAATATAAGTAGAGTAAGTATAAGTATAGTAAATAAAAACATCAGTAAAATACTGTGACTCTTTGCCACAGGCCCAAAGCTGAAAAGAAAAGACTATCAGCTCTAAATGTGACAAGCAGTTATGTTTGTAATCTTTGTTTTGTTTATTTTTTTGTTTTGTTTTTGTTTTTGTTTTTGTACAGAGTACAATAATTAAAGTGATAATAAATTAAAGCCAGAGCCGATTGTTTTTTATATTTGCAGACTSTACTTGAAGACAACTGATTACATTTAGAGAACAAGATGTGTGAGGGATAACTAAAGCAAGAATTTAGATGTTTTGAAGGTGTTCTGTAATGGGATTGATAGTCAGTATCTTACCTGCGGTAGATATCAGAGTACTTAGAAAATCAGTTGAAACAAGTTAACAGATTTTTCAAAGCAAAACTCCTGTCACAAAAATTCTACAAAGATTCATTTAGATCTATTTTATTAAATAATTGTATCTCGAGACAGTTGACTTTTGCAGTGATTTACATGAAGACTTTTTTTATTTTTATACTGAAGACAATTTACTGAATCAGTGATATTTTTTTAATTTATAAATCAAAGTATCTATTTCCAATAAAAAACACAATCATAAATGAAATGAAAGGGAGCAGAAAGAAGAAAAAAAAATATATCTGCCCCAAAAATTGAAATCTGTTACTTTTTAAACAATTTGTCAACACACATTATATAATCATATTTTTTCAACAAGCTAACCTTTACTGTTCTCTTAAATGTACAAGTTTTTCTAGCAGTTTTAACATCGATCTCAAGATTACCAGTGATGATCCACGTGAATCTTTTGTAGCAAAACAAAATGTGTAAAACCGCACAGTAGAGTAATTTGAGTTAATGTGTAAAATCCTAAAACAAATGTTTTTAACTGCGTTACTTTTCATAAGTTAATACACGTTTTATTTTGCAGCATAATTTTCACAAAGAGAAACAAGACTGTTAGAAAAATAAGGTCTTATGTTGTTTTCAGTGGTTAAATGTAAAATGATAGACTGTGAAAAGGATGTCAGGACTTTAAACTATTCATGACTCTTTGACTAAGTTAAGAAGTTGGTTTCAGGATGTTAATTACTCATTTCTACACAGAATACCTTCCAAATTTAAAGTGTATCTTACCCCTCTGTGAAAAGATAACTCCGCCCCAAGGCGAAATTTGAAAAAGACATCGAAATGGGTAGGGGAGGGGAGGTTAGAGAGCGGAGGTGTGGCCAGCCCAGGACGAGAAAACGTGACTGTTAGAATTAGCATTATTAATGCTAYATGGAGAGTGACCACAGCGACGCAGATAGTTATATCTCTGAACGGTCTGAGGTGGAGGATTTTTCACCCCCTCCTCACCAGAGGCAGAGAGAGACTTGATCAAGTCAGCTCAGTCTGGGACTGACTCGTGTTGTCTGTCCCTGGATCAGGACACAGAGCGCTTTACCGCAGCCTTGGCAGAGCTGTCCGCCTCACACCACACCAGGCCCGGACAGAGGAGGTGGAGTGCCCCGACAGCCTGACAGAAAAAAAATAAAAGCATACAGCTGCAGCTGCTCACAAGATCACTAGTTTAAAACATGAATAAAAGTGTTGGGTCTTGTTTGACTGAAGTTCGGGTTGCAGCTGCCTTGCTGCGCTCTCTCTGCCCTTTTTTTTTCCCTCATCCCCTTCGGCTGTGCAGGATGTACAGCGGGCTTTTGTGTGTGTGTGTGTGTGTGTGTGTGTGTGTGTGTGTGTGTGTGTGTGTGTG